GACCTGCAAGGCCGGCGGGAGTGCGAGGAAGCCCCGGCAAGGCCCTCCCTGGCCCCAGGCAGGCAGGGGTGGGGAGAGGAGGGGAGGAAGCAACGTACCCTCCCTCTTCTCCTGCCTCCTCCTGGCTGAATGAGGGCCGGAAGCGGGGCGGCCGGAAGCAGGGGGCGGGGCTTCGTTGTGTGCCCCGCCCCCCGCCCGGGGGAACTGCGATCCCCCGCGATCCCCCCCGAATCGACCTCTGCAGTTAAGTAACAATCAGGAGAACTGTCCTTCCCCTGCTTTTCTCAGAACCTCTCTCAACTGACAAGCTTTTTTTCTCCAACTGCCCTCCACTCAACATTCTGAGCTCAGCCCCGTCCCATCATGGGAGCTATCTGAACAAGCTTGCAGTGGCACCTTACACACTGGCTACATCTTTAATATATTATTTGAAGGAAAAATACTTGCTCAGATCCTAGAAACCCTAGAAACCACGGCTTATCATAGCTCCCAGGTTTGTGATTCCTGTCAAGTGGATAGATTTAAATGATGTTTTCAAAATTCCAAATCACATATTTCCTGAAGAAGTGTGCAGACTAACAGTTGCTATAACAATTAAAAATATCAGGTTTCAAGTATGACAACTTATTAATAAAGTCATGTTTCTCATGGTATAATCTGATCACACAGCTGGACTCCTGGTACAGAATACACAGCTCAGCCTGTAGATAGAAAAGGCTTACAATTTTGGGAGACGGAAAAGCCAATTCCAGTCTGGTCACTATAGTGATATGGAAATGTGCTGTCTCAAAGTAAATGATTTTTCTTCATATAAACAAAGGTTGTGAGTAGTTGTGTTGGTCTTCCAGCAAATTCTAAAAACAAATTGTATAATTGTATTAGGACCAATCAAAATCGTAGAAAAGAGCATGTGTCACTAATCAGTATGCAAGCTTTTAAGTTCTCTAGAATGTATCATCAGGCTGGATGTTCAGTACAAAAAAAAAAAGGAAGCAAGGAGGGAAAATAGTGGTGGCAAAGCTCAAATTCTGCAGTTGCGGTTCTTAAGTGGAAAAGAGGATGCACTGCAGATGGCACTTTATTAGTTTAGATGTTCCTGAGTGCTAAACAGGTTTCCAGTTGCACTAAGTTGCCAGGACAAAGAAGATGAAAAAACATGGTACTCTCTCTTTATGAATGTTCTGCAGATAAAGGAGCTCTAAGCCATAGTTCTGTCAGAGCTATTCTTGAAAGAGCAATTCTTGAAAGAGCTCTCTCAGCCCCACCTGCCTCACAGGGTGTTTGTTGTGGAGAGGGGAAGGAGTTTGTAAGCAGCTCTGAGACTCTGAGAGAAGGGCGGGGTATAAACCTAATCTCTTCTTTTTCTTCGTCTTCCCCAATTTTATCAAAATGAAACTTCTGTCTTTCCAAGCCAATGTTAGTACTTTAAATCGACTTTAAAAAGTCGAAATTTCTCTCTTTGAAGTAGTGGTACTATGTCAGAGCTTGCTGTAAAGCACAGTTTTAACTACTCCATGTCTCCTTATATTTTGTCACAGCATATGGGCATTGCCTCACTTTCATTTTTCTTCTTTTGAATATTCATGTGGATTTTTATCCAGTTTGCAGCAACACGAAGATAGCAAATGTTTCAACTACAAAAATATTAAGTCTTGCTAAACATTAACTGTAAAGGCCACTTACTAGCACTTTATGATGTGCTCTACGTTTATATTTATATCAGTTGTTTTTATCTGTCTAAAAAATTTTTATGTAAGCTACCCTGAGCCCACTTCGGTAGGGAGGGAGGGAGGGATATAAATTAAATAAATAAGTAAATACATTACACAAATCTGACAGAATTAATTCTAAAATGTTTTAACACTGCTTTAAAGTGCTAAAAATGAAGTAAAGACATTTTCTGATAAAATGGCAGCAAAGTCCAGTGTTTTATTCTTAGCAGGCCCTTTTCTGTGTTATTAATTTGTCTGGTATATGCTAATAATCTTATTTTTGACACCAAAAGTAAAAATGTGATAGCAGAGCCAAAGCCAAAGCCAACATAGGCACCAACGTGTTGTATATTAATGTAATGTCCCGATATTAGTCTAATATCCTCTTTTTTCATGTATTGCCAAGAAGAACATTCCTCCTTAATCACTTGGAGAACATTTGGAACTCCATATCATCCAACTGAAATTTTTTTTTAATGAAACCTACAAATGTTTAATTCACTGCCATGCATTTATAGGAGGTCTGTCATACAAAAGATGTCAGAATAGAATCCTGTAAAAAGAATGTCTCCTTTTGTATGGTGTACCGCATTAAGAACTTCAAAACTGCACATGCCACAATAACTTTTTGATCTCTGCTTAATTCTTATTACATTTCCTGAGATTACAACAATTAATTACTGCAAAACAACAGACAAGACTTTCATGAAATATCTGCCTGACTCTGGATAGACACCACTAATTCATTGGTTTAGGTCCAGACTAGATTTTTCAGTGTCAGACTGAGGTCAGAAGACAGGCTTAGCGTGGTCTGGCCATGCTTCTAATTTCAGAGTTTTGTTCAGACATCCCATCCTTAACTTCCTGCACCATGCACACACATCATGGTTAACCATTCAGACTATTGCTGCGCAGTAACCACGGAGCGGTCAGTTGGGGGGCACCCTTTTTTATGTTTTTCACACATGCACACAAGTGCATAGTTGAAGCGCCGGCTCCTTTTTGACAGCTCCACAATCCCTCCACCAAATACTGTGATTGTTGGTTCCTATACAACTGTATTTCTATGCCAGAAATCACTCCCTTTCCCACATGATCTTACTCCCTTTCGCATTAATTTCATTGGGAAGTTTTCCCTTTTCCTCTCCCCATACAACTTTCCCATCAGAGCAATATTATGAAGTGGCTTGGAGTAAAGTTCCGGGGTTGGAATTCTGGCCACTGATATGGAAGCCTAAATAGGGACTATTTCCACTGTTGTCCCACCCCAAGAAATGCAGAAAGGGGCTTTTTTCTTGAATCTGCTGCTCAAAAACACCCCCCAGGGGCTCCTGATCTGAACGAAACGTTGTGGCACATAAAAGGACAAGCCCTCACGACACTGCAGTGAAGATCTGCTTATGCACATATTGCTAACTGATTTTTCTTTTTTTAAAGGAGCGAAAATGGAAAAGGTTCAGACTTTTCTTCCAGCTTGAGACCACAATGGAGAGTTCAGACAACCAGAAATGCTGGGTGAAACCAGACAATCCACATAGACCTTGGACTTTCTCCGGTATCAGAATACTCTGATTCAGGGTCAGGTGAGAATGGGAGACCAATGACTGGGAAACAGAATATGGATGCTGCTGTCTGATCATGGATTTTAAATCTGGAACAGCAATGACATCAGATCAAACAGCTTGTCTGCCTGTGGCCTCAGAATGGAACCTTTCTGCTGCCCCTCAGTCACTGGAGCCTCCCTCCTGCCCCTGCAGCCCACTGCTCCTGGGGCTGCTGGGACACAAATAAGACGGAAAAAGTACTGTGGTACTTGCTGACAAAGGGAAAACACCCTGAGAATTTTTAAACAACACATCCCAACGGCTGCAAAGGAAGTTATTTCTTAATATGTTGAAAGAATAATACGTAGATCATACTAATTAAGCCTGGGAAACTGGGAACAACCACCAGAACCTTTAAATGTGACATTGGTAACCTTTAAATGTGACATTGTTCTCTTACTGCAGAATACTGGCAAAAAAGAATTAGTGTTCCTAGGAAGGAATGCATACCTTATGGTTGGTCTACTACTGTTTTAAAATGACCCAATGACACATCTTTAATTATGAAATCAGAACAAGTATCAGAGTCTGTACCACAGCAAAACTATCTGCTGTTTTTAAGTTGCCACACATGATCATATATATTTGAACTCCCAAGTAGCAGCATGAATCAGGGAGGGAAGAAAGCTCCCCTACGTAATTCATGGCAGTTAGCAACTGCTTTCATATTAGGAAACAAACCTGCACACTGGGAAATCATCAGACAAGTAATCATACAACACACGAGGTTTCTGAACTGCATTGGTCACATCAGGTCCCGTCCCAGCCGGTATTTCATTTCCTGGAACTGACACAGTATCACTGCCTGAGACTCTCTCTGCAACAGTTTCCTCTTTGCTTGTTCTGTCTTGCTTAATGTTAACTGAAGTCTCAGGATCCTTGCACTTGCTTTTTTCACAATGTCCCAAGGACTTCCTCGCCTCCACAGAGGACACCGATGACAGGGAGTGGCAGGTTTCTTTCCATTTTGAAAGCTTGTACCGCTGGCAATTTAAAACACGGTCTTGAGGCTTAGCTGGTTCTTGCTTCTCTTCTCCATTTGTCTGCATAGCAACTTCAGTGGTGATCTTACTGGAAGACTCATTTTGTTGAGTGTTTGAGCTAGTCCTTTTTCTCATTCTTTTGGGCATTTTGGCTCTCTCTCTCTTTCTAACCAGGGCCCAGACATTCTCATCTGACGTTGACGAATCGGAAGACACATTATGCAGATGGTTCCACCTAGTACTAATTTTGGGGTGCACATAGCTGTCCTTCTCTTCCCTTTGCTTTTCTGCGTGTTCACTGGTCTCTTCAGCCTCCTTTCGCCGCCTAACCCTTCGTTTCAACAGTTTCTTACCAGGCTCTTTATGAGCAGAAGTCAACACTGTGACCGGGGCTGAGAGTTCAAACTTATCTTCTGAAATATCATGCAAGGCTGGAGATCTAAATAAATCAGCAAGCACAGGAGATGGATGGGAAAATGATAAAAGAGAGAAAGAGAAAGCAATAAAATAAGAGATAATGAAATGAAAACAAAATCATGATTTAAATAGATGGGAAATGGAAAAAGGAGTGACACAATGACAACTGAAAACTAGATCTAAGCATAAAACCATGAAAAAGGCTAGAAAAAAGCAAAAGCTCCAGATCACTAGATTAAGAAAGACAGTATCAACCAGATTAGGAAGACTTATTTAGCACATACCTACAGATGTCCTGAGTAGAAGGGCAGACCGATAACCGTGATTGGCTCCTGGGAGCTGTCCCTGTGGTAGGGCTGCTTGCCTGTTGAAAGAAGTTAGATAGTTTGGAATCTTTATCCACAAAATAAAGAGTAGATATTTTACTGCTTTTCCACATGATTAAAATGGAAATAATTTGTACAGCTATTCATTTTGCTTTCATATACACAGAGCCTCACACAGTACAGGAAGCTTCTGCAAAAACAAAACCTTTTTGAGGAAGTAAGTATGTTCCAGCAAAGATAGCTGTCATGTCACATACTGCTTTTTTATATTTTTTTTAAGGAACAAACTCTCACAAGCTAGGGTTTCACTTTGCAGCTGGGCCTACTTGTTAACAATCTGAAGGAAACAGCAGTTCATTTCTGTTTTAAGCAAAATTTGACAATGACAAGGCTTTTTGTCAGAACAAAGTGAACTGCACTGACATTGTGCTGAGTGCGTAAGGTCTGAGGCAGAGTCGTCAGACCTTTACAGTGTGGGAAGACAGAAGCACAGTGAATATTAAAAGCCTATTTTTAAAATGCATCACTGAGGCAATCAAGTTCACTTCCAGAAACTGAATGAATGTGAAATTGACAAGCCCAAGAAGGTCCAAAGTTCACAGTGATGCTCAACAATGTCTATTATGGCCTCAAACACCTGAAGCAAAACACTTTCACTGTGTAAGCAAGTCCCATCACAAGACTGTCACAGCAATTTTCAGACCAACTAACTGAGTGCAAATCATATTTTGACTGGAAAATAAGAAGGCTGTTCTGTTCTGGCTGGAAACTTGTTGGCAATATTGTCTTGCACAAAAACCAAGATAACGTTCCTAATTATCTGAACAGTTAAACAGCCTGGGTGTTTATTTTTATGCATAAAACACATTACTTGCAAGTCTCTGAAACTGACTTCAGTCCTTCTTGATACATATCTTGTGATTCGTCAGGATGATTTATATATATATATATATGTTGGTTATTTCTTTTTAATTTACACAATTTACATCCCATCTTTCTGCCCTCACAACAGCCACCAAGGCAGCTAAAGCATACATAATAAAATAATATTTTAAAACCATTAAAACCAACAGTTTTGGAGATAGTTTAGTATACGCTGCTGTACTGGATAACACTGATATCTTAAATGTTAGGAGAGACTGCTAAAGTGAACATCTTGATTGTATACAGGCAAGAAAATTAGTAATTTTGTCATGCTGAAGTGGCTGAAGAAAAGGAAGAAACAGATGGGGCTATATAGTACTGCAAGGCATAGAAGATCAAATAGTCAACACTGCAGCGGTATTTTCTTACTAGTCTTGTCTGTATATATTAGGATATGTCTATTTTAAAGTTCCGGATAACTTTTATTAATTTTGAAAACTACATTTTAAAATAAAGAAAAATATTTCTCTTTTGCATCTTTACCACTGTTTTTAAAGCTAAAATGACAAAATGTACAAAAAGGGAAAGCCGGTATGAAATAGGAGTAGGAAATATTCAATTTCTTTTGCAGTCTTTCTCTCAATGTTTAGTTTGTGCACCTTATTTTTAAATAATCAAATTATTTTGTGGAAAGTCCACTCAAAGTTCTCAATCACTATATTTTACATCCAACTTCCAACTGCTATCAAATGGGCCATGAGATAATGGGGTGGGGGAAAAGAAGGAGGAGGAGGAAATTGGATTTATACCCCGCCCTTTACTACCTGAAGAAGTCTCAGGTAATCCCTTCCCCTTCCCCTCCCCACATCAGACACCCTGTGAGGTAGGTGGGGCTGAGAGCTCTCTCGAGAACTGCCCTTGAGAGAACAGCTCTGAAAGCACTTATGACTGACCCAAGGTCACATCAGCAGCTGCATGTGGAGGAGTGGGGAATCAACCCCAGTTCTCCCAGATTAGAGTCCATGCTCTTAACCACTACACCAAACTGTCTCTCTGGAAACAGTGAGGCACTCCTCTATTGCACCTGAATGTGCTCAATTGAGATTCCCCTCTACAAGGAACAATTTGTACTGAATATCAATTTTTGTAAGTTGCTTTGGAAACTCAAATGGTTATTTTCATCACATTATTTAAAATATGTCTATTCAACAATAGCAGCTAAAAAGATTATGGACACATTTTTCAACACTTCCCAGAAAGGCATCTGTGACGGTCTGCACAGAAAAGCAGGTTTTAAAATGTTGCTATTTCAGAGAGAATGGGGTATCAGGAGTTAATCTGCCCTGGAGTTGAGAGCTTGTGTGACTGGTTGCTCTTCACACTTTCTGATTGGTCAGCATCAGCTGAGAGCAAGTTTAACATCAGCTGTTCAGGAGGAAAATGGTTCTTTCGTCTTTGGTCTTTGGGTCTGGAGTGAGCAAGCTTCTGACAAAAGAAGGAATAACAGGAATCAGTGTTCTGACAGGGTTAGTCAGAAAGGTTCTTCTACAGTTAGAAGAAAACTACTCTGAGGGAGAAGTGTGATTCTGAAGCAAAAAAAAAAAAGACAACCCTCCCCCTGCTTTACACAAACAATTACTGGAAGAGAGATTTGGCTAGAGTGATTGGGTTGTTAAGCAGTAACTACCAGTCACGCCAAATAGTAAAGGGTTATTGCTTCCTGGAAAAAGGCAGGATAATCCCTACCAGTATAAAAGGCTTGTGTTCTGAGGAGAGCCTAGGTCTGTGGTAAAGGGGAATAAGCTTTAGTCACCTCCAGTGTTAGTGGAAAGCTGTAATTTTCTAAGGGGAGAAATCTAGAAAAGGAATACATGCTATTTGGGGGCAACTCAGTCACTGAGGGGAACTAAAAGGTTTTGGCAGGAAAATCTGCCTGTGAGTTGGGAAGTGACTGGGGTCTGTCACAACATCCAATCCTGTAACAGCTCTGTATGTGTAGATCATCTTCTGTGGACAAGCACCAATGCTCCCTCTAAGCTGTGGAGTCTTGTGAGCAAAAATTCTACTTTGTGAGCTACTGGCATTAAAGTTGTGATTTGGCCACTGCATAACTTAGTTTGCTCTGGAGCCATCTTTCCTGAGCAAAGACAAAAGTGTGTGAGCCGGAGGCTAAAAAACTGTGAGCTAGCTCACACTAACTCAGCTTAGAGGGGACACTGACAAGCACCCTTCTCCATACATTGACAGTACAGATGAACATGTGTATTTATATTCATATCAAAATGCCTATCCAACACAGCCTGGTTATATTTTTGGATGGCAATGGGGATACACAGCTGCATAAGAGGGTCATCAGGTATAATGAATGACTAGCTTGCCCATGACTATAGCTAGATGACAATAGTCTTTCAAACCTTCCATGCACTATAGATTTTAGTATCTGTAGAAAAGAGTAGTAAGAGTTCTACTATAAATGTAACTGGCTTGGAGATTACGGGACTCAAGATGCTTGTCAGAAAAACAGATACAACTGAAACTGGTCATAAACTTCACAAAGGGAACGTGTTAAATAATGTTTAAGAGAGCCTGTTCAACAGTGAGTTGACTATACTCAGCCGAACATTTGAAAGTAACAAATTTTGCTTTCTTATAAAAAATATAAAGTCAGGCATTCTTTAAATCTGTGGAACAAGAAGTGAAATTGCTACTTTTTATCACTGTCAGTCTACATACACGTACATCAAGAAATTCTGTATTGTCAACCAAATGTGTCATAGTGTGTGATACAGAGCACATTTATTCTTTTCTCAATATTTGTGATTGGTTATGGTAAATCATTTGGGAGTTGGACACACTTATCCAAAGATACATTTTTCATATAGCAGCATTTTATTAGTTTATTTTTGTCCTAGAAAACAAGACTACATAAAGACAGAATACCCATGTTGCCTCCTGCAGCTTTTTGGACTACTTATTACTTCATTATTAAGGAAAGGATTATCTGCCTCTCATTCAAACTGCCAAAATGTGCACTGGGCAAACAACTCAGAAAAGAAAAGCCATGATATTTCCAAATAGAAAAGATTTCTGCATTGTAAATTCTGCAGTCCCTTACATACTTTTACACCTTCTCTACTAAGAATTTCAACAGGAAGTCATTATGATTAGAACATCCTCCATCCGTGTATATACCTTTAGTGACATGTGGCCCCCAATCACGGATACCTAAATATGTGGACTGTGGCCACATGGACACTAAGCAGATTGGGAGACTCCTCAGGTTTGCAGAAAAATCTGAAATGTTTAAATTTCCCCAAAATTCCTCAGCTTTTAAAAAAAGTGTGATGGAGCTCAGTGGCGGATGCCAGGAAATGCCACTGGGAAATGCATTGGGCCCAGCCATGGTGGCAGAAGCCAGGAGATGTTCTGGGCCTGGCGGTGGTGGACATCGGGAGCTGCTCCATGCTTGGCAGCGCCAGACACCAGGAGCTGCTTGGGCCTGGCTGCAGCATTGGTGGATGCTAGGAGCCACTCCAGACGCAGCCACAGCATCAGTGGATACTGGGAGCTGCTCAGGCCCCAGGCACAGTGGCAGCCAACACTGGGAGCTGCTCCAAGCTTGGAGCAGCTCCCAGACACTGCCACAGTGGCTGTACTCCAAGGTGGGCAAGGTAGCCTGGACACACGTGGGGGGGGGAGGATAGGATTCCTCCCATGAATTTCGCACTTCCCCGTGTAGTACTGTATTTTGTGCTCCTGAACTCCAAACTACCTATCATACACAATCCACATACTAACACACAGAAAATATTTAAAATGAACTAGTTTCTGTACCTGAAACGTGACATTCTCCACTCAAAACAGTATCAATGTTTTATCAAAACAGTCATTTTTCCCCTTTCGGTTTCAGGAATGAGCTTAAGGTGTTGGAAGCACACACTTTAGCTAGGTACGATGTAACAGCAAACAAAGTTAGAGAATTATTTGATGCTATTTCATTAAGGGCACCACATGGAAACAACACTATGTCATGCTACACCCTTCCTCAGGCGGGGGGGGGGCACTCCAGATGTCACAGTAGTTTTAATGTCAATGAAATCCATCATGCCACATGAACATATAAAACTAAAACTCAAATGAAGCATAAGGAAATACACAAGGATGCTGGGACTAG